TAGGCTTTGGACTCAGACTGGAACTATACCATCAGCTCTCTTGAGTCTCCAATTTGCCAACTGTACATCTTGGAATTATTAGCCTCTAAAATCATGTTAGCTAACCCCTCCTGGTAAATCTCTCTCTTTTTATAATTTGTACATGCACATGCATATGTACACACACACACACACACACACATTGGGGCTTTGGGGATGGGATGAATGTATTTTTCATGTGAGAAGGATGAATTTTGGAGGGCCAGGAGTTGAATATTATGAACTGAAATGTATGTTGAAGCTTTAACACAAACGTGATGATCTTTGGAGATGGGGCCTCTAAGAGGTAATTAGGGTTAGACTGATTGGGTCACAAGGGTGGGGATTCATGATGGTATTAGTGTCCTTATAAGAAAAGATACCAGAGAGTTTGCTTGCCCATTCTTCCTCTGCATGCATGCACTTAGGAAAAGCCACATGAGAACATAACAAGAAGGTAGCCATCTCCAGCCAAAGAGGGATCCCTCAACAAACCCAACCATGATGGCACCATGATCTTAGAACTCTAGCTGCCAGAACTGTAAGGAAATCTGTTTTTGTTATTTAAGTCACCCAGTCTATGGGATTTTGTTGTGGCAGTCCAAGTAGACCACGATATGTATTTTTAAAGGCTAGAGTTGAATTCTATCAGTTCCTAAGTATGTCTTTTCCAATTATGTATTCCAGAACTGGGGGAATAACCACAGGATGGGTTTGTGTCTTAGTCCATTCAAGCTCCTATAGCAAAAATACCATAAACTGGGTGGCTTACAAATAACAACTGTGTATATCTCACAGTTCTAAAGGCTGGAAGGTCCAAAATCAAGGTGCCAGCAGATTCGATGTCTGCTGAGAGCCCACTTTCTTGCGCAAAGATGGCACCTTCCTGCTATCTCCTTACATGGTGGAAGGAACTTGGGAGCTTTTTCTATAAGGGCACTAATCCCATTTACAAGGGCTCCACCCTCATAAACTAAGCACCCCTCCCAAAGGTCCCACCTCGTAATACCATCACATTGCACATTATGTTTCAACATATGAATTTAGGGGTGGGGAGCACACAAACATTCAGTCCATAACAGTTTAGGATCCACTGAACCCACTGTGAGATGGCCCCGGGCCAAAATTCCATTCAGCACTTGACCTCCTTTAGCCTCAATTCTGACTGGTAGACCACAGTGACATTTTCCATCTCCTGGAATTAATGTCAGTTCAGAGCCAGTGTCCAACAATCCCCCCGAAGTGTGACTATTTTTTTTTTTTTTCTTCCAATGCACACTAATGCTGATAAAAGGCCATAGGACCCTTTAGGAAGGCTGGGGAAAAGGTTAACAATATAAATTTTGGCAGTGTAGCAGGGCCCTTCATCAAGGAAATTCATGGGGTTCTGGGTTTATAAACAGACTCTAGTCTGAGAATTGACTGAGTCCTCATGACTCTCTGTTTTGATTATTAAAGTTAACTGCTATTCACTTGACCTAGAACTCTCTTATTTAACAGATTAAGTAAGAATTTAGTAGCCTGCCCATCTACTTCACTGCTAAGGACACCATGATGAACTAACCAATACCATAGGTCTACACAACTCAAGACTATTCTGAATATTGCTTTGACTCTGTTGGCCATTATAATAACCACACCCACATTGTCTTTGGCAATTAAAGACCACAACATGGTCCGGGCCACCTCAGGATTCAGTTATCGCCACTGCACTTAGTTGTCTAATTTAAAAGCTGCAATTCCCGCTGTAATTTCTACAAAGAAGAATGAAGAGTCATTCAGGATGCTGGGGCTCCCTTCACAGGTTTATTCCTCACAGTGGTGGTAAAAGTTGTGCCCTCTGGACTCTTTTAGGGTAAAAGAACAGGCCTTCCATGATAAATCTACTCTGCCATGCCAGAGTTGGGTGGGTCGGTATGTATGAGTGTGTGGCCTAGAGTACAGGGGACAAAAGATAGTGTTTAAAAATTAAATCAAAACAAAACTCTCAGGTAGAGTTTTCCATTACAAAGTGCTTTACCCCTTGCAGAACTAATTCTAGCAAACCACAATCTTTGGAGCAAGGACTTGGCTTTTTCTTTTAGGTGAATGCAGTCTTTCCAAGGTTGGGACATCTCAGTACCCTTCACAAACATAGTGTGAATTTTCCCTATCTTCCAAAGATAGTGACATAGCTTTTTTTTTTTCTTTCTATTTCCAAGCAAGAGGTAAGTGCCTACAAATATAAATGAGCCACAGCTTGCAGATGAAGGGCCTGATTGTCTTTTCAGACGCTGGCATGAATCAAAGCCAAAGGGGAGGAAAGTATTACGAGTCCAGCATTGACACTATCAACAAAACTTGAAGAAAATTGAATTCTGTATTTAAAATGTCATTAACTGTGAAAATAATTTAACTGACATGCTAAAGAACAAAAAACAAATTAAAAAAATTTTACCCCAATATCCATTCTAATAGTTTAGCTTCACCAGTATACACAGCAAAACAGACTGTTTTTTTTTTTAATTAAACTTGCATACCTTCAAATTAAAAAATCATCTGGGAAAATGATTTGCATATTACACGGTATAAGTGCTAAGACTGCAATTGGTTTGCCTCCTAGGCTGGTGCATTTGAGATACAAACTTTTAAAATTTATTTTAGTGAATACTGTTTATATCTGCATTCTGATCATGTATGAGGCTATTTTTCTCAGAAAATTTTGGAAACATTTGATTTTACAAAATAAAAAAAGCCAACCAACCATTTATTTTCTGTTCCTTCATCTATGGGTACTCTTTAAGTTCATGAATATGGGTATCAATGAGTCACTTTATATCATTTAAGGACAGATATGGAAAATTTGAATTTTAAATATCAAACATTGTTTTTTAATTCCAACTGATATCTATGATCGCATATCCCATCTTATTTTAATGATCTATTTATGTTTCTGTCTGCCCCGCTATACTGTGAGCTTTTTGAAGACCGATTCTGTCTTACTCAGTTTTTCACATCCAGTGACTAGCACCATCCCTGGCATGAATCTTTACTGGCACGATATTTTCAGCCTAAGACCTCTGTATGAAGATTTTTCTTTAGTTCTTACAATTGAATGGAATGCAGCATTTCAGTGCAGTAGGATTCAGATGAAAAAACATCACAACACAATCTTGCTAGCAAGCCAGCTGCTCCCTTGTCTGCAACCTCTATTAGCATTACGAAAATAATAACTTTGTAGTAATTGAATCCTAGAAAATCTCCATTTCCATTTTGTGTAGAGCCCAATGCAGAAGTCCAGGAGCAGGAATTCTGCAATCCTGCTACTGCCTCTAAGACCCAAGATGTCAACCCTATCCCTATCCTCTTCCTTTTTTTTTAACCCCTGGTACATAGAATTTAGTTACCATGCACTCCAGTTTATAACACATGAATTATCATCTGTCCGTACCAAAAAAAACCACTCATTTTATTTGCCCCTGCTATAATGTATTAGATATATATTTCCTTAGACATAAAAGTTTCCTTGAAAAGTAGAGTGTACTTGGTTTATTTAAACTTAAAACATAATTTTTATATATGTAATATTTAATTACTGAATGTACTAATAATCACATGCTATTTCCTATGTGTTCACTTAACATTATGCTTTTTGGTTTCTGTTCATTTTGCATGTCATTGAGTGAATATAATTCATTAGTTCTGACTTCTGTATTCCATCATACGAATCTACTAAAATTTACTTATCCACCTTTTCAATACCTCTTAATCCTTGCTACCACAAATAATCCTACAATGGACATACATTTCCACTTGTGGACCTTATCTATGCTTTGTTTTTTTGAGTAGTATAAGATTTCCCTCCAGGATGGTGGCACCAGTTTATACTCCAATTAGCAGTTTTTATAAGTTCCCATTTCTCCATATCCCTGCCAATATTTGATATTAAGCATTTTTAATCTTTGGCAATTTAATGGGCATAAAGAAATATTTCCCATATATAAAATAGTTTGTGTCTTATTTTCTAGTTAGTAGTTGTTGCTCTAAAGAGATGTTACTGTTTTCCTTTTGGACTGTGATACTTGCTGTATTTTTCAGTGGATAGACTTTTTTAATTTAAGGAATACTTATTATTTTTCAAAGAAGTGTCTCCAATAAATATTGAAAACTTAATGTATAGTAGTCACTGTGTTAGGACCTGCAGAAAAAAAACAGACAAAATCCCTGTACCCAAAAGATTTTGTGGTAAGACAACCAGAAAATAAACAAGGTATGTAAGGTAGATGGGGAGCATGTACTAGACCAAGATGCTGAACTAGCACAACTTCTGGATCTCTCCCCTAAGGCCAATCCTACCAAAAATATCAAGATATTGAGAACATTTTGAGAAAATATTTGGGACATTGCTGTTGGAGAATGTAAGAAAGTGGACAGATTCATAATGTATTTTGGAAAATCTAGCCAGTGACTATATGTGTACAATGAGTTTCTAAAAGAAGAAGTGGCAACCATTTTGATGACGGTGACTAACTTCTTAAAAGTCAATAACATGGTGGGAAAGCAGGACAATAGCCATGCCACACATATGACATCTTTAACCCTACTCCAACCACAAATTAAATATCCAAATTGTATTAAAATTGGTATTAAACATAAATAGAATTAATCACAAATCTCTCAATAATATATTTCACGTTTGTGAAGAGATACTATTAAGTGCTTTTTGCATTACTGCCAGGTGTTTGTAACTATTCCAAAAATTCCTAGACTGAGATGTTTTTAAATAAGAAAAAAATAGATTTCATTTTTGTCACACAGGATAATCCAGCTACCAATCTCAGGTGAGGATTCCCACCACTTGAAGGCAAAGAGCGTAACAATGCCAACCACCAGAAACATGAGCCTACTGACACTGGCCCACTGCATCTTCTATGGGTTAGAGTTTTTGGGGAATAACTCAACACACAAGACACTAGTTGGAAAAATGCTTTACTCACCAAAAGAAGAAAAGACACAGCAAGATTGGTGTCTGCACTGTGAAGCCAGTTTCTCATGGCCAAAGGGTCTCTCCCAATAGCCCAGGCATGGGCTATTTACCCATGGGCTGCAGAAGAGTGGAGAAGAGTAGGATTGGCCAGGTGCCACATGAAAGACACACTTAATCAATACAAGAAATTCATTGCACACCCAGGACAGGGAAAGATTACTCCTAATAAGAAAGAGGAATCTGGGGCCAAGCAATATCTTGGTACCCAGCTTCCACATTAGGGAACGGTCGAGGCCCAGGACACTGATTGGGTAATCCCCTGGTGTGCAACAGGTCACATGATGACTGTTTCCCCAACAGTTTTTATAGGTAGCCACAATTTAGTCTAACTTTTCCGTTCTTAAGTGCTTTTTTACATGTGCAGTAGAAGGGCTACTGATATGAAATCACAAACACTATTAACAAAAAGCTATCCAAATGTTGTATGACAAATTCAGATTTTCTAATCCATCCTTCTTCTCCAATACGTGTCATGTTAATTAAGAAAAACTGCTGATTTTGGAAATAGGAAAAATCAAATTATACTGATTTGTACTGTATCAAAAGAAGTGTATCACAGAGAGTTGAGTAAAGCTAGGAATAGAACAAAAATTTCATTGAAAACAAAGGTATCTGCAAAAAAAAAAAATGTTTTTCAATGTTTCAAAAGCCACAAGTGGGTTATGGAATTCTACCAGAGCAAGTAATTTCAGTCTCTGTTTGGAGATAAAATTGCTTAAATCTATACCACTCTAATGCTTACCATATTTGAATCAGAACAACCTTGTTAGATACCTGCTAAGAACCTTCTCTCAAACCTCCTCCTCTCCTGCTAGGCTTATTGTCACTGGTCCACAGAGGACTGTTCATTTTTGTGAGTTTACATATATCACTTATACCTTATTTAATAGGCTCTATCTATTTAAGACCATCAACGAAACTTGTATCAAACTGCAGGTAGGCAAAAAATCTAATACACTACCAGGGAGAGCATCCATGGAAATATATTGAAAAGGCCAAATGGAATTTAATGCAGGCTTCTTTTATGCACTCTAGTTGGGGAATGGAAAGGTGTCTATTCCTGGGGCACCTGGGTGGCTCAGTTGGGTAAGCATGTGACTCTTGGTTTCAGCTCACAGTTCATGGGCTCAAGCCCCATGTTGGGCTCTGTGCTGACAGCGTGGAGTCTGCTTGAGATTCTCTCTCTCTCTCTCTCTCTCTCTCTCTCTCTCTCTGCCCCTCTCTCTCTCAAAATGAAAGAAAGAAAGAAAGAAAGAAAGAAAGAAAGAAAGAAAGAAAAAGAAAGAAAGCTGTCTATTCCTTAGAAAGAAGAAGAGGTCTACTTCCCAAGTATATAGACTTCACATACCATGGTTTCTAAAAACAAACTGAGACAAAAAGGACTCAGAGTTCTAAAAGACAAAATACACTGCTCCTAAAACGTAAAAACCATACTCTGAGAATCTGTAGCCCAGTTTTGGACTACAATCTAGCATTTATAATCTTTTGGAATGATATTTTGGTAAACCATGCTACTAGGACATTTCTGTTTTCAGTTATACTATTGCCCATATTTGTGGCTGTGTATGTTTCTCTCACTTCAAAGTGCAAACTTGTTTAGGACAGGGAATCTGGTATCATGGAAATAAGATGGGTTCCAAAATTGGAAGACTTGAGGTAGAACATCATACATGACACGTCCTGTGTACTGCCACTCAGGCAAGTCACTGAGGCTTGGTTTTGTTCTCTGTAAATGAGGACAGCCATATAGCTACTTCCCAAGGGTTTAAAATGAGAATCTGTCTAGAAAATGTGTAAATTGTAGAGCATTCTACAAATACCGATGACTATTATTGCACATCCTTGTGTCTCCCAGAGTAGCACAGTGTTGTGAACATTCACAGCACTCAATACCTGCTTGTTGACTGGGACACACTTGTTGAAAATAGTGAATTCATCTTATATGATAAGAATTGGGAGGTTTCCTCTTCATAAGACACATTTCAGGGGCAGAGGAAACTCAAATTGTGAAGCCAGCTGTGACCCACAGCATGTTTAGTAGCCAAAGCTGCCCCTCTGGTGTCCAGGAGCCTTTTATTTCCCCAGTTTAGCACCAACCCCTCTCCTATCCTCAGTTGCTACTTCTCAGAAATTTTAGTTACATAAAATCCAAAAGGTCAGTTAGCCAACTGGGTAAACTAAGCTTTGTAAATAAGGAAGAGAGAAGTAGAGGATCCAATAGCACCCCCACTTGCTGCCATTATCTTACTATTTCCCATTTTGTACACATCAGTTAATTTCTCACAAACCCTGGGTCCCACTCAGAGCAATATTAAAAGCCTACTTTAAACCATTTTAAAAGTATATTCAGTTGTTGTATTTAATAGTGCTTTGGCCTTATAAATTTCTGTAATTGTCATAAAAACCCTAGGTTCCACCTGGACAAACTTGGGGCTCCACCAGTAGTGGAGTAGTACCAGCCACCAGTTAAGAATCACAGATCTAACAAATGAATGAATGATGATTCCTAAGAAACACTTAAGCTCAAGGATGACATACTCTTCAGATGTATTTTCTTCAGGCAGGTCTTCATGGGTCTTGTGCCAGAGGTTTTCAAAAGCTCACAAATACAAATAAAACTCTATTATATGGTATTCTTCTCTTCTTCCACTCAAGAGTGCTCCATGTTGGGGCGCCTGGGCAGCTCAGTCAGTTAAGCTTCTGACTTGGGCTCCGGTCACAATCTCATGGTTCAGGTTAGTGCGTTCAAGCCCCATGTCGGGCTCTGCGCTGACAGCTGGG